CAAGGGCACATCGGAGTAAAGAACTTCACGGTTTGAGATAAGTAACTCTTTTAAACTTAGTGCTGAGAGTATGAAACACCGAATTATGTGTTATGTGATTGATGTTGAGGTGACGCACATGCTAGGTGACGGGCGTGTGGGTGTGCACCTTGTGAATGGTGACTCTGTTGTTTCCAGGACACTGTGTAGTGGTCCTACTTTGTTGATATCTGTGTTTTCACCATGTGAGTTGTACATCATGCTAGTTATCATGTTTAGGCTTTATGCTGATATTGTTGAGACTCATAGTGGTTGTTTCTTGTTGTCATCTCACTGATTTCATTGATATTTCATACTCAGTAATATTTATTTATTCATATAATATCTCAGTCTCAATTATTATTATTGATACATTATATCATCATTTTTGGGCTGATTTTCATGACATTTTGACCCCGAGAGACTGGAGAGATTGATAACTAAGTGAGGCCGAGGGCCTAATTGTGATGATGATTATGGGATCGGGCTGCACGCCGCAGTATGTTGTTACTGATTTATGATTGAGTGAGGCCGAGGGCCTGATTGATTTATGCCACGAGATGGCTTGTTATAGCGCTTGGGCTGAAGGAGCCCCTCCGGAGTCTGTACACAACCCAGTGAGCGCAGGTACCTACTGAGTGCGAGCGCCGAGTGACTTGGGAGGATTGAGTGATTGTGAGGCACGAGTGATTGTGAAAATTGAGTGACTGGGAGGACTGAGTGACTGAGAGGATTGAGTGACAGGGAGGACTGAGTGAATTGATACTCTGAGAGTATACATATGGTTTTAACACTATTTTGCATTGCATTGACATGCACATGGAAATATAGGCATAGAGATGTACTTTCCTCATGCCATTTGAAAAATGAAATCTCCTATTTTGAATGAAAGTTTTATGGGAAAAATCATAGTCTTCAAACTTACTCATATTTTGGTAATTTCAGTGAAAAGAATTGAGTTTCACTATTATACTTGAAAAGAAAATATTTTTTTTTTGGACTGTGAATAAGCTGAGAATTTTATTATTGAGTTATGCCTTGTGATGCTTTAACTATATTGTTATGAGATGTTACTGGATATTGGAGTGGACTCTGACCTTGGTACAAGCTCGTCACTACTTTCAACCTAAGTTTAGGTTTGTTATTTATTGAGTACATGAGGTCGGTTGTACTCATACTACACTTCCTGCACATTGCGTGTAGATTTCGGATGTCGACATTGCTGTGTTCGATGGGAGCTGACTTGGAAAATGTATCGGCGTCCCTGTTGTAGCTGCCTCTTGTTCATGGTAGCCTTAGATTCATTAAACTCTGTTTATGTACTTTTCAAACAGAAGATGTATTTATTTCATATCAATTTTGTATTTATTTCATATCAATTTTGTAAATTTCACTATTAGAAGCTTATGATTTGTACTACCAGTCCTTGGGAGTGTATTTGAATTTGTTAAATATTTATTAAATCAGATTGTGGTTATTTGGCTTACCTAGCAGGTGAGGTTATGTGTCATCACGACTAGTTGGATTTTGGGTCGTGACAATTTAATGATTAAGATCTAAATAATTAAGATTCAGACTTTAAAAACAAATGTACTTAATATCTGAGATATAAATGATTAAGATTCAGACCTTCATTAAATGCAAATAAATGAGGCCTTAGTGTAGTAGGCCCGGAGAGGAAAAAACTTTTCGACCAGCACAAGAAACGGCCAAGATAGGAGTCCAATTTCGTCCCCAAAAAACTCAAAGCTGTTTCACAATCATATGCTCTTTCCCCAGGGTCACAATACTACATCTTAAATTCAGCCCATGACGACAACACATTGAAAACAGCCGTTTGTGTCATACCGTCATTTTCCTAACAAGATATTAGACTACAATGTTACTCTTCACTCGCATCGCATGTTTTTTTTTTCCATTGCATGTTAATAATATGACAGGCAATCAAATCATGAACTAGCTCCCTTAGTTGATTTGAAACAACTTATAATAAATGAAAATGCTAAGAGCATCTCATGTTAGATGAGAAAATAAGTTATTATCTCTTCGTATAGTTTTGAACAATTTTCTCATTTAATTTTTGAGGTTGAGTTACAATAAATACTCCATCCGTTTTAATTTATGTGAACCTATTTACTTTTTAGTCCGTATAAAACAAAAAATAACCCTTTTTCTTTTTGAAAAATAATTTACCTTTATGCAATAATTTATAGCCACACAAAATATATGTGCCTCATTTTACATCATAAATTCAAAAGTTTTTTCTCTTTTTTTAAATTTCGTATCCAATAAAATGGGTTCATATAAATTAAAACGGAGGGAGTATATATTTTTCAACGAGAAAAAAAAAAATCAATCGCAGCTTATAAGTCATATTCAGTTAATATTGGAGGTTGACTTAGGTCAAAATCTAGTTCCTCTTAACTAAGGTAAAGATAAAGAACCTTCAACAGCTTATTGGTCAAATTCAGCAAAAGGAGTAGAATGTTCTAATTCTAAGAGCTTCCTTGGAAAGCCACCTAGGAATTGGATTTGAGTGTAATTGGGTGTAATTACACAATTTGACATATTTGTTTAGTCAGGTAATTACTTGGTCAGCATGAAATTGAGTGTAATTGGAGGGGTATAATTATACTCTCCAATTCTCAAGGGGAAGGTGAGAATTGGTGGTAATTACACTATGTAATTACAAGGCTGCTTTTAATTTCTTTCCCTTTTATTTTTATTTTATTTTTTTCTTTATAACTTTTTATTTCTATTTTTTTTTTAATTTTTAAATTTTATTTTTACTTTTTTTGAAATTTTAAAATATATTTTCTGTGTACCTTATTTACATTTTATTTCTCTACCTTTACTTTATTTGATTCCATGAAATTGCTTATATTTTATTTAGTATTTATTTTATTATTTTATTTTTGAAACTACACCTCCTAATATTAGAAATAATGGGTCATTAACAAACTAGGTAAATACTGAGTGATGCAATTAAAGTGAAATTTCGTTGTTGAATGTGGTTATAAACTTATTATGTTTCCCAATCTTAAGTTGTATTGGAACTTATTATTATTATTATGTTGGAATTTGACATATGTTAAACTTTTTTTTTGGATTTTAAAATTGTGTTATATTCATGGTTCCAATTAGGGGTGTACAAAGGAAACCGACAAACCGCACCAACCCGATAATCCGAGTCAAATCAAGAAAAAAAAACCCGACTATGGTTTGGTTTGATTTGGTTTGGTGTTGGAAAAAAAAAATCCGACCATAATTGGTTTGGTTTGGTTTTAACTAAAGAAAGTCAAACCGAAACCAAACCAACCCGATATTATATATGTAAAAAATTTAGATATATTGTGATGTAATTTATAAATATTTCTTAAAAAATTTCATAATTTTATCTTTGAATGTATTATATTAAGGTTGGACTTAGAACTTTTGATTGTTCCAATAAGTTTTATAACTATTAATATCAGTAAATTAAATAATGCTAACAAAAGCCCAAACCAAAATTAAATCAATACTAATGCTAATAAAAGGCATTCAATTCAATAGTCAACACTATGAACGAGAATGTATTGAATATCTACTTTTTGTTTTGCAATAATTTAGATTTAAATGCATAACCTATTTTTATCTTTTCTTTAGCGTTTAGTCATGTAATTTAATACTTCCTTATTAGTCTACTTACTTTAGCATGGCTTGGTACTTTTAGATTATGTTTATTTTTATTGTGATTTTTTAATTAGCAATATCTATATTACATAATTTTATTGTCTTTATTGTTGAATATTTTAAGATAATGCCATGACACATCTCATGTTTTGTATTATTTTCTTGGAAAATACTTTATATAGTTGTATCTTACTAGGATTAAAGGAATATTTTGAGCACAAATTATATGTATTGTTCTACGAAGATTTTACCGGAAAAGAACCCAAAAATCCAAATAACCCGAAAATCCGAGAAAACACGAGAAAAATCGAGATTGAAAAATCCGAGTTTTATTGGTTTGGTTTGGTCTTTAGATTTAATAACCCAACACAATTGGGTTGGTTTGGTAATCGTAAAATCCGAACCAACCCGACCTATGTATACTCTAGTTCCAATTTACTTGTTTTAGTAGTATTGACTCATATTGCATGTTGTTCATTTGAATAATGTTATGACATTATATTTATAAATACTAATTTATTTTATCAAACATGAATTCCATGATATTTTACAAAACAGATGTTTTTAGTTTTGTAAGTACCTAAATTAAATATTATTTATTTAGAATATATATAATAATTATTTTTACAATATTAGTTATAAATATATGATTACTAATTAATGTATATTCACGAAAAATATACATCTTAAATACAAAATATAATATCATTTATACTTATAAAAATTTATAGGCATATATTTATTATATTAACTTATAAGTTTTGATAATGACTTTATTTAAATTTTTATTTAATTGTGTAATTATACTTGTGCAACCAAATAGTAAACTTGTAATTACACTGTAATTATACTATGATAAATAATTAAGTTATCGTAATTACACAACTATATAATTATTAAGTTGTATAATTATCACCCTAGTAATTACACCAATTCCAATTACCCGATGGCTTTCCAAACAGACCCTAAATCTTTGCCTTAACAAAATGAATATGGTAAGGAAATTGAGTTTACTGTAATTATCAAATACAAAGTGACACGTATGTGTATAGTTGGTACCAGAGGTGTCGATTTGGCTACTAGAAGCCGTTTAAAGCTTATATTTAGGGACACATGTTCCTTGGAATAATGGAAAAGCCAAAACACAACACCATTCGATTTTGATTAAAATCTCTCCTCGCTTTCTTCTCTTTTTCCCCTTATATCTCCACCATTTTCCACCGTCTTCGCCGTCTATCAAACAACCTTAACTTTCACTTGGAAATTTTCCGGCCAAATTCGCCGGAACAATACCCCTGTTTACTATTGTCATGCTTCCTTATTTCCATAACTCTCCTTTAAAACCCAAAACTCCTGATATTCCTGATCGCAAAAGCTTAATTTACTTCCTTCAACCCTTGCTCTCCTTTCACAATCCCCGTACATGGCTTATTCTTACCGTCCTCCTCNTCCCCACTACATCTTCCGCCGCCGCTATTTTAACCATCACCGAAGTTGATACTATTACTAACTTGTGTCCTTTAGGTAAAGTATATGTCTACGACCTCCCTCAGTTATTCAACGCGGAGTTAATACAAAATTGCCACGAATTAAACCCATGGATTTCGCCATGCGAAGCGCTGTCGAACGACGGTTTTGGCGGCAGAGCCACCGGACTTTCGAAAGTTGTTCCGGAAAGCCTTATCGGGTCGTGGCATTGGACGGACCAGTTTGCATTGGAGCTAATTTACCATAACCGTATGGTAAACTATCGGTGCAGGACTATGGAGCCGGAATCTGCTACGGCTTTCTACATCCCGTTATACGCTGGACTAGCGGTGGGAAAGTACTTGTTTAAGAAGAACTCCAGTGCAAAAGATCGTGATATGCATTGCGAGCTGATGCTCATCTGGGTCCAGAATCAAACCTATATGAAGCGTAAAAACGGTTGGGATCACTTCATATCCATGGGCCGCATCTCATGGGATTTCCGCCGATCGAAAGATAAAGATTGGGGTTCTAGCTGTATATACATGCCGGGAATGCGTAACATCACGCGCCTTCTAATCGAGAAAAACCCTTGGGACTATTTCGATATTGGTGTGCCTTATCCCACCGGATTCCACCCCAGCACCGCTAATGACATCACCCAGTGGCAGAACTTTGTCCGTTCGCGTGAAAGAAAAACTCTCTTCTGCTTTGTTGGGGCGACACGTGGACTTATAAAAAATGATTTTCGAGGTTTATTACTGAGTCATTGTTACAGCGAGTCGGACTCGTGTCGAGTTTTGGACTGTGCTGGGTCGAAATGCTCCAATGGCACTTCTGAAATTCTAGAAACTTTTCTCGACTCGGATTTCTGCTTACAGCCTAGAGGTGACAGTTTCACTCGGCGGTCTATTTTCGACTGCATGGTGGCCGGTTCAATTCCGGTCTTTTTCTGGAAGAGAACGGCTTATTACCAGTACGAGTGGTTTTTGCCCGAAGAACCAGAGAGTTACTCGGTTTTTATAGATCGGTATGAGGTAAAAAGTGGGTCATCCATTAAAGCAGTTCTTGAAAAATTCAGCAAAGAACAGGTAAAGTCGATGAGGGAAAAAGTGATAGAGAATATACCGAAGATAGTTTATGCTAAACCCAATGGGGGTATAAATGGCATTAAAGATGCATTTGATATTGCAGTAGAGGGAGTATTGAGGAGAATTAAGAAACAGGAAGGAGGGTATAAATGGTAATAAACTATGCAAATGGGGAAATTAAGGTTTAGGTAGATATGGGAGTGCAACAGCTTTGCAGGTGCATGGCCATGGCGGCAGTTGAGTTTAGTTACTGTTTTCCTGCCACAGATACACCATTGGAAAGCAGCTGCAGTTTGGGACGAAGTTGACATAAACTTTTACTTATAATTTTGTAATTTTTATGTGATGTATTTATGTAGTATAAGTAGCTTATATTAGCGGCGAAGTTAAAAGAATTTTTTCAGAGGTGTTCAAATTTAAAAGAAATGAAAAAAAATTCTGATAAAGTGTGTTCAATATTTTACTTGTGTATACAATATAATTTTTCGACGGTGGTCAGATTACCTTTTGGGACAGAATGGTATAAAATAAATGGGGAGAAATATGTTGACTGCATTCTGACCGCGGTTGCTGTAATAGTACTGTACATTCCAAAACTTAATTTCATGCATTATGAATGTGTTAAATAAGATGCATATTGTGTACATATTTTATATTGAGGTTTAAGGTTGTGATAGTCTTTGGCATTATTGTTTGACTCAAAAGATGTTAAAATTCTTTTGGACAAATCAATTAAAGATGAAGGGATAAATCGTAGATGGAGATAATAATCTCTAGAATAATAATAAGTGAAGAGAAGAGAGTTGCAAAGCTTCCTTTTTGTTTAAGATTGATAAGTTTCCCCGAATATCGCCCCCGTTACAAGGTCATTTTTCTCCCTTATATATTAGCGAGAAGCCCTTCTCAATTGTAAGAAATAAAATATAAAGAATATTCGACGGAATATTCTTAATGTCCCCTAATGGATTTACGCTTCTACAAGGGTCGTATAGTTTCTTCTTTCGCCTTAAGGTCGTCTCCCTCGGGACGCTTTTTCGAAGGTACTTGGTCGTTTGTGGTACTCATCATAGGTTGAGGTCGGTCAAATTTGGACCCATACAATTAGTGCCTCCGCTTGTCGGGGTCGCGGCCGGATGCGTCCTCGATGAGCGGACTGCGTGCATTCTTTTGGAGAAATTTGACATGTGGGAACGTTATGACATGGCCAATGGGAGTTGGTCATAATGTTCAGCAAAACATCGTGTGGTGCACTTCTCCGGGAAGTGATGTCAGCTTTACGTGCGTCATCATTACGCAGGTTTTCGAGGCGGGGACTGACGGCTTGGTGCTTCGATTCTTGCACTGCTTTGAGGCCAGTCGCCTCGATTCTGTCGCCTCCCAATCCTATAAATAGGTGAAGGATTTGAATTTTGAAAAACTTTAGCCATTCCTCTCTTGAAGACCTCTTTCGTTCTTTCTTATTTGCTCTATTATCCTTATGTTCTTCTTTCATTCACCATCTGAAGCTTCTTTTTCCTTCCTACTTTTGTGTTGATACTCCTTCAAAGGATATTATGCCGAGGTCTCGTCGTTCTCGCGAAGAGGTTCCTGAAGCCACCCCATCATCAATGGTGCCTCTTTGTGACAGCAGAGATGTGGTGGTAGGGGAGAGTGACAGCCCTCCTACGGTGGAGGAGCTACTACCAGGCACCCCTTATCCCGGAGTGACTTCCTCAAAGATCCACCTCCCACCCCGAACCCCGTCTTTTCTGAGACGGAGCAGGTCCATATTGATGCTTTTCGTATAAAGTATGACATTCGTGCTCATGTAGAAATGGTTCTAGTGGGGAGGGATTATGTAGACGTCCACAGATCTGGGTACTGTGCTTTCTATGAGTACCCTTTTATGATCGACTATACTTTTCCTCTCTTCCCCTTAGCAGAAAAATTTTGTAGATTTTACCAAGTTTGCCCAGCACAACTTTTGCCATACATGCTCAAGGTGCTTCTGCTATTGACTAAGTATGCAGAGTTGGCGGAGTGTAGCGTTTCTATCCACCACATTTTGCACATGTTCACACCTTGCTTTCTTAGGGGTACCATGGTGTATTTGAGGCTTCGTGGTACGAAAGGGCTAGTAGTTGGAACAGATGACCGGGCAAGCCGCAAGTTTTGGCACAAGTACTTCTTTGTCAAGACCAAACATGTCGTTTCTGACTCCGCCAGACTCCCGAAGCGGTGGAATGGGACTCATAAGTGTTGTCATTCGTTATGTTCCCCTCTCTTCTTTATTCACTGTAAATTTTATTCGCTTGCCGTTTTGCAGCTATGGGCCGTCCGCCTCGCCCCATTGCGGGTATCAAGGATTGGCTAGCCCACCTGTTACATCACGTAGCAGAAACTCGAACTTGGCCCGCCTTCATGCAATGTAATGGCCCTAAAATGTAAATGTCTTACTCACTACTTCGTTGGCCATGCAACCTTGCTTAATGGTGCGACCCTTTGTGATGACAGGTCGAGGAGCTTCCAGGAGGAGGGCGATGGTCCCCGCCTTTAGACAAGTCGTTGCTACTGCAGATATGTTGCTTGTCTTGAGTGAGTCTGTCCGGGAGGGTTGTCCTTAACCTACTCAATTAGGAGATCCGTCTCGAGTTGTGGCCGTGAGGGAAGAGGCTTCTTCGGTACCGGCCTCACGTCTTTTGGATGAATCTTCTAACTGGGATGAGCCTTTGTCGACTAAAAAAGGAGGCTGGAGCTAGGAAAGGGCGTAGCTACAGACGCTGATGGTAGTAGGGCGTCCCGGACAACACTTGTGCCCGTATTCATGGCTGATGCCATTTTGTCGGGGAGATCTCCTCAAGAGGAAGGAGTTGGCCCAGGAGATGGTTCAGTGCGCTCCGTTGAGGGTGGGGCGTCGTCTAACGTTGGAGGGCATCGTGTTGAGCGTAGCGGCTCGGGTTCGAATATCGACCCAGAGGATGTCGATGAGTTTTTGGGTCGCCATACCCATGTGGAGGTTAGGATGAACGGATCCGACCGTCATGTGGTCGTTCCGGAGAACTACAACTTGCTACTGAACAACGAGCATGTGGCATCAACCCTATCTCCTCTATGTGCCACTCCTGAAAGTGAGATGCTTGGGCCGATGAGCAACGTAGAGTTATCTCAGAAGGTCGCTGGTATGGCCCTGCAGGTAGGTGCCTTTCCTTCTCTTTTTGTCGTTGGATTTATGCGGTAATCGTCGTTCTGTATTTTGTTACTAACTTCTGCCCTCCCCTTTTTGTCAGACCCTTGTCCTGGAGATTGAGAAAGAGCGTCGAGAGAGAAAAAGGATGAGCCTTTATGAGAAGATGTCGTCCAAGTATCAGCAGTATCGTGCTAAGCATCGGTCGATGTCCGATATTTATCATCAAGACCCTGAGTTTCAGGTGTTTCGTGAGGGGCTCAAGCAGCGGGAGGACCAGTTGGAGCACAAGATAGAGGAATTGAGGGAGAGGGACGAGGAGCTCATGAAAGTCATCGCCCGTAACAGTGAGTTGGAGGTCTCCCTTAAGGCGAAGGAGGACGAGCTCGAGTTGAGCAGGGGGTAACGACTGAGAATGCCGACTTACAGGCGAAGGTAGCCGACTTGACCGTTGGGTTGAGTGCTAAGGTAGCGGAGATTGAGGGGCTTAAGGGCAAGCTGAACGTTAGCGCTGATAAGCTGGAGGCAGCTAGTTCTGAATCAGTATCTTTGGAAGTTGCCCTCCGTATTTCTAGGTCAGAGTTGACTGAGGAGAAGGAAGCCTCTGGTCGTCGGGTGGCAGGGCTCAAAGGGTGTGTTACCTCGCTGAGGGCAGAGGATGCGCGTCGACATTCTCAGCCTTCTACATCTCGCGTCTCAGCCGATCCGGTTGTGCCCCATCGTTTATACGAGTTATGGGTCCATGCGGAGGCTCGGCTTGATGTGTATAAGGTTTTTCACACCTAGGGAAGGGCTATTGAGGCGGAGGTTCAGGCTGTGCACGCCGAAGCTCGTGCAGCTCGTGAGTCATGCGGGTAAGACCCCCTCAAACCTGACGGGGATGACATCAACTCTGATGATGCGAATCACCTTGCCTCAGATTCGTGGTATAAAGACGCTTACCCCGTTAGGGATGATGTGTAGTCTTAGTTTGTATTTGCTTTTGTTTAGGGATTTTTGCACGGGTCATACTTGGGCCTGTTTGTAGGGGCAAATGTAAATGATATTTTGCTGTAATGTAGAATTTACTTTTGTCGACTTATTTTTTCTTGCATTTATTGCACACATGATATTGTTAATGCCCTTGGCTGTTGGGATGTTACTTCGTCCTATCGTCCCAACTGTCGTCGAAGTAGAATCACGTCGTAGTTCGAACGAGGTCGAACTTATATTATCGTCGACGGCCTTGGCCATTGGGATGTTGCTTCGAACTGTCGTCGAAGTAGAATCCTGTCATAGTTCGAACAAGGTCGAACTTATATTGTGGTCGACGGACTTGGCCGTTGGGATGTTGCTTCGAACTGTCGTCGAAGTAGAATCCCATCGTAGTTCGAACGAGGTCGAACTTATATTGTCATCGACAGCCTTGGACGTTGGGATGTTGCTTCGAACTGTCGTCGAAGTAGAATCCCGTCATAGTTCGAACGAGGTCAAACTTATGTTTTTGGAGATTTGATCATATTCCCGTAGGATAACGTCACATGTCGACTAGTGGAGATCTAGTTCTACATATACAATGGAGATTTGATTCCGTAAATACTATGGAGATTTGATTCCGTAAATGCAATGGAGATTTGCTTCTGTATAGATAATGGAGATTTGATTTCGTAAATACAATGGAGATTTGGTTATCTATATGTAGTCCCTTCATTACTTCGATCCGGGGGTCATATCGACGCGTCGAGGTAATGAACAACATATTGCCTCTTAAGTCAGCCCCCTTATCGCCTCGTTAAAAACCTCCTCGGGAAAACCTGATTGGGACAAAACTCGGGTGAGGAAAAAAGAGTGTGACTTAGGTGACGCCTTTTTTAGAAGTGGAAATACTTGAGATGGGCGACGTTCCAATTATTTTGGAGTAGTTTTCCCTCCATTGTTTCTAGCTGGAACACTCCTTTGTTTGCTGCTGCTATGATTTTGTGTGGTCCGTCCCAGTTTGTTCCCAATTTCCCTCATTAGGGTCTTCTGACGCTTGTGTTTTGTCCTTGAGGACGTAGTCGCTAACTTTTAGTGGTCGCACATTGGCTCTCTTGTTGTAGTATCTTTCTACTTGCTGCTTTTGGGCTACCATTCTTATGTGGGCCATATCTCTTCGTTCTTCAACTTCATCCAGATCTTGTAGCCTACTTTCGTCGTTGCTTGTTCCGCCCTCGTTGGAGTATCTCAAACTGGGCTCCCCGACCTCGATGGGTATAACTGTGTCGGTCCCGTAGACCAGTGAATATGGTGTTTCTCCTGTGCTCATTTTTTGGCGTAGTGCGGTATGCCCATAATACTTCCGGTAGTAGTTTAACCC